CCTAAATTCATGATTATTCAGCTCAACATTATATTGATCTAATTTTTTTTTTTTTTTTTAACTTGTATTTTGTTAGATCTTTATCAATTCTCCCTTCTGGTATTATGCTTTTACTGCTGTGTTATCACATTTCTTGACCACAAGAACCAAGAGCAAATTTGTCTATGCAGGACCATCCAAGGTCACTGAAACGCTGCTCAAGTTAAGGACCAATTTTCCCAATTTCTTGCAGAATAAGGTACTGATTTTCCCTAGACTTGCACGAACTCTTCATTCCAGGTACATTTCTGCAGAAGAAATACCTATCTAATATGGAGGACTTAAGCGGGAAAATGACCCTGACTTCTCCCCAGGGGACACTGCAACAGAAGCTATTGTCAAGGAAGGAACAACAGAATCAATTAAGCTCAGTGCACCAGAGGTAAGTTGACTGTCTAAGTTCCATTTTGGCAAAACCATAAGTTAAGCCCCTGAACCAACCCCAGAATCGCTATTAAGCCCCTAGACTTTAATTGATGCATATAAGCCCTTGAACTCTGCGGTCAAGGCAATTAAGCCCTTCTTCTTACGCCAACTTAACCGCCGTTTCAGACTCACTCGCCTGGCTTAACTGTCGTTTGGGACTTGCTCGCCTGGCTGCTTGGATGGCAAAATATTGCCATGTCATGCTTATATGACCATATGACAAGGGATTTGATATTTGAGTAGGATTTTGACTTATTTGATCATTCAATTTTTTTATTTAAATAAAATCTAAATGAAATAAAGTCATGTTTAGGTGAAAATATTATTTAAATAGTCTTAAATTTAAATTTAATAAATATAGTAATAGACATTAAATTTTTTTATATGATTCATTATGATTTAATTTTAAATTGGTTGATAATATATAACTTTTAAATTTTGAAAGCTTAATAAAAAATAGTATCAGTTAAAATGATAAATTTATAATTATATGATATAAAATATTAAATAAATATAATAAAAAAATACATATCAGTTTTAATTTTTAAAATAAATTAAAGTTTCAAATTTAAAACAAATATCTCATTTAGTATAAAAATAGTACCACTTAAAATGATAAATTTATAATTATATGATATATGATATTAAATAAATAGAATAAGAAAAAATACATATTA